GACTCGCGCCGTGATCACTAAGTTCACTGGAAGAGCCCAGCCGCCAAAAATCGCTTCGCCTGCGGCGCGCTCTTGCGCTCCTCGGACCTCGAGCGCAATCCATAGGATTCCTAAGTAGGAGACGCTCACTGTCGCCATTCAGGCGCCTGATCTCTCATCAGCAAAGCGATGGCCTACCTGGTATGCCCTGGTACGAGTTCAGATGCGCGCCCGGCAGAAGACGCGTGTGACTTTTAGCTTACTGGGAGAAAAGAGAGAGGGGGTTGTGTTCTCTAGGCCCCTAGGGGCCCTACGCGCGGCGTGAGAGCTCGGAAGCGAGCTTAGCACGGCGATCGAGGATGGCACGGTTCACCCCCTTCACCGAAGCGATGGAGATGCGTTCCGCGTGGTGTGACACAAATGAGAGGCGGGAGTGGGGAGGGTACGCGGTGCGGTCAACGCCCGAGCGTTGAGCCTTGCGCGCAAGGCGGTTGATCTTTGCAACTGCAGGCGGCGAGAAGCCGCCGCCGAATGTCTCGTGGAGAAGCAGGTTGAACTTGTTTCGTTTGCCGAAGATCCCGTCATGGTAGTGGCCACGCTGCGACTTGACGTAGCCTTGGCCGGTGGCGTGGTCGAACGCACGTTGACCACGGAACCCGCGTTGCTTGCAGCCCATGTTTGCAAGGCGGGCGCGCTCTTCGGTGTTGCCGAAGGCGAACTTGTCTCCAACGGAGCCGGGGTTGCCTCCGGTGTCGGCGCGGCCGACCCCAACGGGCAAGCCACCCCGGAGGGGGGTCCAAAGTTTGACCTCACTGATCTCGTCTTTGCCCCCGGGAGCCGCGCCCGGCTCAGCCAGGTCGGTCTTGTAGCCCTCGTTGAACTGTTTGGTGAGCTCAGGTTTTTCGGCATCTCCCATAACGGGCCGGGAGATGGAGACGGCGGCGACACAATCGTACCAGGCGCGAAGTACGCCGTCGTGTGGGCGCCGCCGGGCGGCGTTGTTGAGGAACCAGTCGCCATGGTAGTCCTTTGCACCACCGACTGTGTCCCCAAGCTCGAGTGCCCGCGTGACAGTCGAGCGGCACTGCGAGAGGTGAAGACCGTTTCGGCGCTGAAGTTCGCCGATGAATATGTCGTCTGGAATGGTTGTGGCGTTGCTGCCGTCAAGTTTGGTGTCGAGCCACCGCCCCGCGTAAGGCTGCGAAGTTGAGACGTAGCGGATGGACTCGCGGTAACGTATCTTGGTGTCGCCGGGCTGCCAGTTGGCTGCTGTGTAGTCGTCAAGGGCGCGCCACTCCTTCTGCAGATCGAACCAGTTCCAGATAGTCTCGATGGCAGCAAGCGCCCGCGCATACGGGCTTCCTGATTTGCAAGTGCCATCGATGACTGACTCCGGTGTTGGAAGAGACTCAGAAGTGGGGAGGCTGACGCCCTTGGGGTAGAACTCAGAGATTTTGCCGCCGCGCAAGGTGTAGTAGATGTTGTCGTCGCGCGCGGCTCGGATGGAGGCCACCTCGTCTCGCCTCGAGAGCGCGGCTCTGTACGAGTTGACGGCGGCGTCCCGTGCGCCGTACCCGCCGCAGCGCTCGGCTTCGGCGAGGTCTGGGCTGCAGGCCACAAGCTTTGACCAGCATTTGAGGAGGGAGTTGTGGTAGGCTTCGGCCGGGCCGCGCACGCCCGTGCGGCCCTCCCCCGTGTCGTTAAGCACGCCGACCGAGGTGACGCCCGTGTCGACGCCGGAGCCTCCAGTGATGGTAGGGAGCATAGCCTGCCTCCAACCCAGGTCTTTGTATTTCGCAGGAGTATCCTCGGCCTCCGTGAGTAGTTCCCACGATTTGCGAATCCGGTTGCTACCGTCGATGGCCGGGCCCTCGCTGATCTCTGGTGGCGTGACGGAGCAAATGTACTTCGTCTTTGGGCAGGCCTGACGGGTGATGAGGTTGTACTTGAGGTGTCCAACGTTCTGAATGCCCTCGGTGCATTCGAGCGTGTCGATGAAGTCGAGCGGACGGAGGTTTTTGGCGAGGCGTTTGCCAATCGCCTCCGAGGCAGCCTCTGTGTCGCCGAGGTAGGTTCCGACGATTTTGAAGCAGGCCTCACGTCCGGTGAGGTTCCCGTCCTCGTCTCGGTGGTGCGGCGAGCCGACCATGAAGGGGGGTACGCAGTCGAGGTCGCCGCTCGGAGAGTAGATGATGCACTTCTCCTCGTTGTCGAGGTTGCCAGCGACATCTTTTTGCACCTCGAGTGTCCCGCCCTCTCCGCAGTAAGACTTGACGGCCTCTGCCACGGTGTCGTTTTGAACCATGTCGTCGATGAACGAAACGAAGCGGGTAGTCGGGTTCTTCTTTTGCACAATGTTGTCGATCTCGTGTTTGACTCCGGTGGTGCACATCCCTGAGAAGGCGCGCCCTTGGGCGCCGCCGCAGCACGACCGGATGTAGCCGTCGGCGTCCTCGCCGGGCGGCTCCAGGCTGAGCGGGTCCCACGGTGCGTCGGCGTCGCTCGGTCCGGCTGCCCGAGGGTCCTGGAGCGGTCCGTCCGCGCTGCACAGACGGAGGAAGCTGCGTCGACCAAACACCAACCGCATCGCCGGGATGAGTGCCGGATTGCGCTTACGCGCCCAGTCAAAACAGACAGTCCTGCCGTACCCGCTCGGGTCTGGGTTGCCGTCTGCGTCCAGGGGCTGTCCCGTGAGGTTGAAGAAGTTACGCTTGTCCGACTTGATTGACGCATTCCCAGGTCGCAGGGTGTGCCACGAAGTGACTGTGTGGCACACGAGATGGGTTCCATTCTTCGAATACCCATAGTTGACTGGGAAGTTGACTGGTTGCCGTGCAGCTGCGTCGGCTCGGTAGGCGGCGTCGAGGGCGTCTCTGGCCGCTGTGATGTCGCTGTCGGCGCCGCCTCCGGCCCGGACGCGGTCGACGGTGGTTTTGAGGGTATGCTCGGCGGCGGTGAGGGCGGCGGCGGCGTTGGCGATGGCCACATCTCGGGCGTGACGATCCTCGGGCAGCGGCGAGGTGAGGTACTGCTCCATCCAGGGGCACTCTTGCATGTGTATGCAGCGCTCATGAGGGTTAGGTTTCTGGAGCCTCGGGTGCTTTTACGCCTTTGATCGGGTCAGGGGAGAGTGCGACTTTTACCACTTTGGTCGTCTCGGAGCGCCCAACTTTTAGCATGTTTCAAAAATTTCTTCGGCGCTGCGCGCCGCGGGTGCAGCAAGTACTAGCTATCCCTATCGTCCCGCAACGGCAAAGTAGTTCCCGCACACTATGGCTAAAAAAATGCTGCCGCTCGCCCCTCGAAAGCGCCCGCCGGTGTGTGTCCAAACATGTATGTAGCGCTACAAGTTTGTGACACATAAGGACGCATCCTCCCACAACACTTCGCCCGCTGGCTTGGTTGCAGCTGCCGAGGTACCATCTGCCGGCTTGGGGGGGCTAGTGGCATTCGCCGGAGAGTAGAATGTCCAAAATTTTCGCGCGCCTGCGGCGGCGCGACTTTTACCATTTTGCCCCGGGCGGGCCCACTTTTGAGAGAGATTTTTAGCAATACCAAACAACTCTAACACTCACACGTAATTTGGGGCCTGGAGCCCTGTTCACGCGCGCGCGAGTTGTTTTGCACTTGGAGCACTTGGAGCACTTAAGGACATCGAAGATGAATTCTGTGAAGAGCGTGACATTTTCATTGTAGAATAAAATAAATTTAGCGCGAGATGGCGCAGCCTATAATACGCCCGGACGAATTTTTCATGATCGTGGCGATTGGGACGAGGCCGATTGTCCGGGGATGCGGACCTTGCGCCGGCGGGGTGGCGTCCCTGTGGGCACTGCCTGCGCTCGGACAAGTGCGCTCGGCACCCACGCAATGTGCCTCGCCGGGCACCGCCTCTGAGCTCGGTATATACTTTCCCACTATGCCACGTCGCCCATCCCGGGATGGAACAGTCAGGCTCGGACTGGACACCAACGCGGTATGGGTGGACGCTGGACAGATGATGACGACACGCACGAGCGACACACAGACAGACACAAACAAGCTCACAAGACACACAGCCAGCGAGGGAAGCCCCAGAAAAAAAGGAAAAAAACTGCTTTTTGACCGCGCAAGATATAAAGGGTGGCTAAGGGCTCTGCCCGCAAGGCGCCCGCGTCGCAGACGCGGTACCATTGACAAATCGCCACGCCGCTTGCGGCGGTCCTCTTCCCAGCTGAGCTGTGAGGGCCCGTGCGTTATTCCTCCTCTTCGAGACCGGGTCCGGCCCGGGCGCTCTGCCCAACATGCTCAGCGCGCAGAAGCTGGAGCTTTTGGCTGGGCTCAAGGTGCGCGGCCTCGACCTGCGCCAGGCGGAGATGAGCTTTTACATGAATCGCTTCACCACCACAGCCGGCCTCTCCTCGATCATGACGTGTTTGGCCTACGTCGGCGTGATCAAGATCAAGATCCCGCACGAGATGCTGCCGCCCGAGGAGTCATGGCAGGTGCCGCTCTTTTACGTCGCGGCGTGCTGCACCATGGCGCTATCAATGTACAACCTTGTCATCACCTCCTTCTGCGTCGTGTATGCCCAGGGCCTCGCGCTGCGTGGGCCGCCCGGATCGGTCGCCAAGTGCGTGCAGATCTTCCGCGCGGAGTGGGTGACCGTGCGGCTCGTGCTGGCCGCCTCGCTGGCGAGCCTCATCCTCGCCGGTGTCTCCATCTCATGGATGAAGCTCGAGCGGGACGCGCGCATTCTGGGCGGCATTCCACTGCCCGCGCTCGTCATCAGCGTGCTCGTGCTGGGGATACTGCTGCTGCTCTTCCGCCGGCTCGCCCTCCTCGCTTCGCAGCTTCGCGTCCCGTACGACACGCGCGTCGAGGGCGACCTCCACATCGACGATGGCGGGCTCAACATCGACCTAGCCGCCGAGGACCAGGAGCGCATCGAGGCGGCTAGGTGAGAGCGAGTGCGGCGCGGGGGCCCGAGGCGCTTGCCCGCTTCTGCCGCTATACGTGTATTTCTGTGTATTCTTTCCATGATTTTCACGACGGATAAGACCGGACGACATGTTCACACGGTCGAGCGGAGCCGGGGGGCTGGACGTGGAGACGCAAAACACACACAGAGAGGGAGAGACGATGAACCCAATTCACACAATCACAAACCCCGGGCGGCCGCGCGAATCACGGCAAGGCAGGCGGCCGGCAATAACACTCACAAGCGTTCGATGCGGCGAGACGGAGACGCGACTGACGTGTTCTTGCGGGCACTGTGCAGCAGGCGGGGGTGGAGCAGGAGGCAACGCGGCCGCCGCCTCGCCCGCCACGCTAGTCGTACTGCGCCGCCTTGCCCGTCCGGCCGCAGACCGGCCGGAAGCCGCCGAGTCCGGTCTCCATCAGCGTCATCGAGCCGGTCCCCACCATGAGCAGCCCGGAGCCAAACAGGATAAAGGCGAGGAAGAAGACGATGAAGGAGGGGCGGCCCGTGCGCTGCAGCAGCGAGTGCGCGCCCTTGGTGCCAACGATGGCGCCGAGGACGCCGCCGAAGAAGCCGAAGAAGGCTGCGTACTCGAGGTCGATCATGCCTGGGCAGAGGAGGCGCTGGTTGGCTGTGGTGTCTGGTGTTTGGGAAGGCCTCGGCGGATCTCGGCGGATCTCGGCGGATCTCGGCGGATCTCGCGCCGAAGATGATGAATTGACAGACGGTGGCCGAAGACATGAAGAGCACCATCACCGTCGAGGTGGCGGAGGAGACCTGAGTGGAGGGTGGTGGTGGGTGGGGCTGGGCAACGGCGTCGGTGATTGTGTGTGTGGGGGGGTTGTAGGACCGAGGGGAGTCGAGACGAGCTTCATCTCGGCTGCGTCTCGGCTGCGTCTCGGCCGCGCCTCGGGGAGGAAGCCGAGCTCCGTGAAGATCGGCCCGAGGATCATCCCCCCGCCCACGCCGAGCATGCCGGCTGCGATGGCGCCGACGCAGACGAGGGCGGGCAGCCGCACCACCTTGTCGACGTCCCACTCGACGTCGCCCTCGACGTACGCGTAGCCCATCTGGACGCGCGAGCGGTGCGTGCGCAGCCGGCCGCGCGCAGCTACGGCGGTCAGCAGCGCGAGGATGGGCAGGTTGAGCACGACCACCGCCCAGTACCTGTGAGTCACACACAACCGACATGCGTGGGGGGGTGACCGCAGCTGCCGCGGCGAGGGTGCGCCGCTGGAGTGCCCGGCGGAGCCGCACGCGACCCCGAGCAGCGAGGGAGCGCCGTGACCGCCCTTGAGCAGGGCGAGCAGGTAGACGACTGCCCACGCGCGGAGGAGGACGAGCGCGTCGCCCCAAGGCGGGCGTGCCTCCTCCTCCACCTCCCGCTCCAGCAGCGCCGCGCGCGCCTGCGGCGGGGGAGAGGCAGCTCGGGGCTTGGGCACGGGCGGCGCTGGAGGCGCCTCGGCGGCGCCCGGCAGAGAGAGGCAGAGAGGGAGGGGGAGAGGGCCGCAGCCACTTAGCGCCAGGCAGCTTCTCGGCCAGCTCTCGGCCAGCTCTCGGCCATCTCTCGGCCAGCTCTCGGATCTCGGCCAGCTCTCGGCGACCTCGCGCCTCCTTCGCGCCAGGCTCGTCTCCACACCCGTCGGGGCTTCCCCCGCCCCGCAGCCCCGCGCCGCCGCCCTCCTTGCCGCCGCCGCCCTCCTTGCCGCCGATGAGCGGCGTGCCCGAGTCGTCTCTCTCTGCCTGCGGCAGCGTCTCGTACATGGCTCGGCTCTCCTTGGCCCACCCCTTGCGAGCCTTGTCGAGGGTGCGCTTGCCCATCACGGCGCAGAGCAGCACCAGCAGCACCATAATGAGCCTGCGAGGCGCGCAGGGGGCGGTGGGAGCCGCTCTCCAGCCGCCCCACCAGCCGCCCCACGTGCGCAGTGCCTCCCGCCGCACCAGCAGTTGGGGCAGATCTTGTTGAGGAAGTGTCCAGGAGGTGTCTAGGAAGTGTCTCCCGCGCGCCAGTTCGGGCAGATCTTGTTGAGGAAGACCCCGACGGTGGTCCCCATCAGTGTGGCGGGCATCAGCACGACCACCACGTCGTACGCGATCCGGTGGCGGTGCGGGACGAGAGGGTGTCTGTGGGGTGAGGGTGAGGGTGGGGGTGAGGGTGAGGGTGAGGGTGAGGGTGAGAGTCACTTGAGCCAGAGGTAGGTGCCGAAGGGTGAGGGTGGGGGTGGGGGTGGGGGTGAGGGTGAGGATGAGGGTGAGGGTGAGGGTGAGGGTGAGGGTGAGGGTGAGGGTGAGAGTCACTTGAGCCAGAGGTAGGTGCCGAAGGTGGAGAAGAGGGAGGCGCCGAAGACGGTGGCGAGCGCGAGCGGGATGGCCTCGTGCTCGGTGAAGTCGCCGATGAGGGTGAAGAGGGGCACGAGCACCGCGCCGCCGCCGATGCCCGCCGCGGAGGCGAAGACGGTGGCGAGGAAGACGGCGAAAGCGGTGTGGATGTCGGACGAGCTCAGCGGGAAGAGGCCGTCCTGCGCCGTCACCGGCCGCACGCGAAAGCGAGGGTAGCACTTCTTCTGGCAGTGCTTGTAGTTGCTGCACGAGGAGTCGCACTCTTCGCACGTGGTGGAGCACTCCGGGTACGTCGTGCACACCTGCCGATGAGAGCACCAGCCGCAGCCGTCGAGCTCGGTGCAGCCGCAGACCGAGGCGGCCTGCGCGCACGTGTCGACGCAGGTGCGCCGGCAGGCCGAGCGGCAGGTGTCGTGCCGCGTGGGGCACTCGCGGCACGTCGTCGTGCACCGGTCGGCGGGCGCGCACTTGCCGTTCTTCGAGCACCAGCCGCACCCGGGCGCGAGCGCCGAGCAAGAGCACAGGTCGGTCGCGGCGGCGCACACGGCCTCCGAGCTGACGTTGCGGTGCGCCACCGCCAGCGGCGAGGCGCCGCGGAGGCCGCTGCAGCCCAGCAGCAGCAGGATCGACATTGGCCGGAACCTGAGGCACGGCGCCTGAGAAGTTGGCGAGTTTTCTTACTTTTACCGAGTCGGACTGTACTTTTCTCCCTAGCGTTTCTTCTGTCTGTGTCGGCCACGCCTGCCGATGTTACAGCACAAGGCGGTGCTCGACATGGGCGAACAGAGGCCAGCCAGCCACGGGCACGGCGCCTGAAAACTTGCTTGGGGCTGACTCAGTTTTCTTACGAGCGCAACCCCGCTGCGTCCTGGCTCGCGCACACGCGCCCACGGTGCCTAAACAGCAATGTCCCACCTCTTACTCCACCCTCTATCGGCGTCGGCGCAAACATAAAAAAGAGAGGCCGCTTGACCCCAGTTGGGCCACGGTGACAGACACACAGCCCATTCCCCTTCCCCCGCAAGACATCAAGGACGAGGACACGACACAGGACGCACGCGTCGGCGTCGGGGTTGGCAAACCTGAGAAAAGAAACTCGGAGGCCAAGGGCGGAACGCTACACATGCAATACTGCGGCGTGCGGGTGCCTTCACGACCTGCACTCCAAAGGTTGGCAGCTGGTGAAGCAGCATCCGACAGCGACGCCGCGGAGCCGGAGAGCCCTGCACAGAAGCGGCACATCATCATCACACGCCTCGGTGGCGCGTCGGTGCGACTCGCAGCGGTCCAAAATGCAAAAAGAAGGCGGCTCAAAAAAGACGAAATAAGCTAGAAGAGCTTCCGCGGTCTGACCGCTGCCGCAACGGCCCGCTATGTGGCGAGCAATGCGACGGCGTGCACTCATTCTACTGGTCTGTGGGCATCGGTGCTCCGCCTCCCTGTCATGGCCACCGTGCCTGTCATGGCCACCTTGCACCTTCCCCCCTGTCATGGCGACATGGCCACCTTCCCAGTGGCTGTGTGACGCAGCTCGCACAGTGACGCAGCCCAGCCTTGCAGCCCGCGGTGCAGCCTTCACAGCACACGCACTGCAAGAAGTCTGCTGTCGGCCTGCATGGCTTGCTGCTGCAGCGCATGTGGGCGAGCAGTCGGCGAGTGTCGGACGCGTTGGGTGCGCTCTCGCGCCAGATAAGCCTCTCTCAGGATCACAGACACCCCTCTCAGGATCACAGCACCGGCGGGAACGCGCCTCAGGATCAAGCACCCACGGCAGGGTCTGTGGGGATCAGCAGACCTGGAGGGAGGGGGCACGCATAGGATCAGAGCCGGTTTGAAGAGGCGCTGAGGATCATAGGTCTGAGAGGGATGCTGTCAAGATCACAGGGCTGCAAAACGGGTGGCACTCGAGATCAGAGCGCCAAAATAGGCGCGCGGGAGATCAGCGGGCCGGAAATTGGTGCAATACACACACGAGCGCCGAAAATTGGTGCAATTTACATCAGTTACCAGCCTCCGGCGGGGCCCCCCGCTACCATCCAAACCCGAGTACAAAGCGCGCCTCGTGCGCGCCTCTCCGAGGCGCTGCGCAGATGGTCTACGAATTAGATGGTCTACGAATCCGCATAGAGGCTCAAGTGACAAGTCCACACACACACGCGGGACACACCGCGGTGCGCGGGCGGACGGATTCGGACGGGGCGGAGCAGCGACCGCCTGGGCGGCCGCTGCTCTGTCTGCCAGAGCGCGGCGACCGCCTGGGCGGCCGCTGCTCTGTCTGCCAGAGCGCGCCGTCTGCGCAGCTCGAGAGCGCAGTCAGGTGCAGGGAAGCGTGGCGGCGCGGGGACGCGCGGCGGCGGCGGCGAGCAGGCGAGCGGCCCGCGCGCGGCGAGGCGGACAGGTGATCGGCAGGCGGGTGATGGGCCGGAGAGTGACCGCGCCCAGCGATCGGAGGCGAGCCGATCGTCGCTCGGCCGCTGCTGACCTCGAAGGCGTGCGGAGCGCGACTGTCGGTGTCGGGGGGCGGCCGTCATGTGGCGAGGAGGGGGGACGACAAGTGCGCGTCGTACGGGTCGCTCTTCATCGGCCAGTCGAGCGGACGGTAGGTCGGTCAAAGTGAGGGCCGGTGAGGCCGGCGAGATTCGTTGCGAGATACGGTTCGCGCCCAAACCAAGTTTGGACGCTCTTGGGACGCGCCGCAAAATCAACCCGTTGGAAAGGGGGCTTCTGGGGCGGCCAAATTCACACCTCGCGGGACTACTTATGTTTTCGTAAACGTAGTCGTGCACGTGGCCCCCCGCTACGTCGCACGAGTGCAACTGGGTAGCGGGGGGCTATCATCAATCATGAAACCGTCGCGCGCCCATCACGTGCGCTGGACCGGTCGCTCATGCGCGTCCTGTCGCTCATGCGCTTGTCGCTGGGAGGTGGCGCCGGGCTGGCCATCGGCGCCGCTCGCGCGCTCGGCGCCGCCGAGGATGGCAGTCGTGACGGCGGCCGCAGCATTCGGCGTAGACCGCGCGCGCAGCGCGCTCCGTGTTTGCCTTGAGGAGCGCAGCGACGAGTCCGTAAGGAGCGGCCCCAGCTTGCGGAGCGGCGCCGCCGCGCGCCGTATCGAGAGACTCTGTCGGGGCAGGTTAAAATAGCGCCACAGGCTCAGGTTTGCCAACCCCGACTTCTTGCAGTGCCATGTGCTGTGAAGGCTGCACCGCGGGCTGCAAGGCTGGGCTGCGTCGCTGTGCGAGCTGCGTCACACAGCCACTGGGAAGGTGGCCATGACAGGGGGGAAGGTGCAAGGTGGCCATGACAGGCACGGTGGCCATGACAGGGAGGCGGAGCACCGATGCCCACAGACCAGTAGAATGAGTGCACGCCGTCGCATTGCTCGCCACATAGCGGGCCGTTGCGGTCAGACCGCGGAAGCTCTTCTAGCTTATTTCGTCTTTTTTGAGCCGCCTTCTTTTTTTTCATGCATTTTGGACCGCTGCGAGTCGCACCGACGCGCCACCGAGGCGTGTGATGATGATGTGCCGCTTCTGTGCAGGGCTCTCCGGCTCCGCGGCGTCGCTGTCGGATGCTGCGTCACCAGCTGCCAACCTTTGGAGTGCAGGTCGTGAAGGCACCCGCACGCCGCAGTATTGCATGTGTACTTCCGACGCCTTGGCCTGCGAGTTTCTTTTCTCAGGTTTGCCAACCCCGACGCCGACGCGTGCGTCCTGTGTCGTGTCCTCGTCCTTGATGTCTTGCGGGGGAAGGGGAATGGGCTGTGTGTCTGTCACCGTGGCCCAACTGGGGTCAAGCGGCCTCCCTTTTTTATGTTTGCGCCGACGCCGATAAGAGGTGGGACATTGCTGTTTAGGCACCGTGGGCGCGTGTGCGCGAGCCAGGACGCAGCGGGGTTGCGCTCGAAATAGGTACTGTGGTCATGCTGCGCTCAGCCTCCTCTCGCGTCGCGCGCCGCAGCGCCGGGGTGCTCTCAAAAGGCGCGCCGGCCGCCTGCGCACAGAAACTCTGCGCGCTGAGACACAAGAAGGTTGGGAGGTTGTGCACACGACCCCGAGGGCCGGCGGCGGCGCGGAGAGCAATGAGAGGGGGGCGCCCTCGCCGCGTGGCGATTGCCGCACGCCCGACGCCGCTCGCATGCCCGCCCCGTGCAGCGCCGTTTGCTGCTGTCGCTGCGCGCGAGAAGTCCACTGGCAAGGTGACGACGGTCATCGGTGCGGTGGTGGACGTGCAGTTTGACGGGCCGCTGCCGGCTATCCTCAACAGCCTCGAGGTCGAGGGCCACGAGATCCGGCTCGTCCTCGAGGTTGCGCAGCACCTGGGGGAGAGCACGGTGCGCACCATCGCGATGGACGCCACCGAGGGCCTCGTGCGCGGGCAGACCGTGGTTGACACGGAGGCGCCCATCTGCATCCCCGTGGGCAACGGCGTGCTCGGCCGCATCATGAACGTCATCGGTGAGCCGATCGACGAGGAGGGCCCTGTCGACTCGACGATGATGTCGCCGATCCACAAGGAGGCGCCCGTCTTCACCGAGCAGTCGGTCGAGCAGGAGGTGCTCTCGACGGGCATCAAGGTGATTGACCTGATTGAGCCGTACCCCAAGGGCGGCAAGATCGGGCTCTTTGGCGGCGCCGGCGTGGGCAAGACCGTCGTGATTATGGAGCTGATCAACAACATCGCAAAGGTGACTCGGGGGAGCGGCGAGCGGAGAGAGTGTGGGGAAGGCGGGACGGGGGGCGTGGGCAGCACAACGCCGTCGCAAACCCACCGCTCCGCTCTCCGCAGGCCCACGGCGGTTTCTCCGTCTTTGCCGGCGTCGGCGAGCGCACGCGCGAGGGCAACGACCTGTACCACGAGATGATGACCTCGGTGCGCCGCGCCGCACCAGCCTCCTGCCCTCCCTCCCGCCTCCCTCCCGCCTCCCGCCTCCTCTTGCCCCCCCC